TACTTTCTGCACAATTAATAATTTAATAGCTAGCTCAAATCTTTATCACTACACTTGTTATAACTCAAATTATGATAAGCACAAAAGCATATGTTCTATCTCTGATACACACATATAATGGTATCTGTGTCTGTGTGTTGAAAAAATAATTTAATCTTTTTTGCGTATCAGAGCCTTTCTGAGCATAAAACTCCCACTGACTTAGAGATGTGCTTATGGAATTGTTAATTTTGGATATTTCAGAATCATTCTTTATTGGGTTTTTTCTCAGCATCTTTAAGGAAACAACTAAAAATGACAGGCATAAAATATTGATTCTGATTTTCACTGGATTACTGGTTGTCCAAATCAGGTGAGATCTAGCTAGATTTTCAGAATTTTCTGTGAGACTTGCCATTCTGTGCTAGATGGGTGGGTCAATTTTATTGGCCTCTAAAGCTATGGTGACAGTTTTAAAACAGTCTCAAGAAGTATAGAGTCCCATAACTGCTTTATTATGAACAGCCAGACTTCCTTGTGGCCTCTGTCATTTGCTTCTCTCCAGAAGCTCTGGTTTTATTGACAGCTGTGAAAACTAAAATCAAATTCCTGCCAGATTTAGCTAAACTACTAGTACTGAGTCAGATGATCAACATTAACGTCTATCAAATGATACTGACCACCATGTCTGGGGTCATATAGGAATATTCTCTCAAGGTAATTGGTGTTGATTTGTTTTCTTCTAGAGCATCATATAAGAATTTTTTTTTTTTCTGAGATTGTGACTTGGCTTTTTCCCCCTCCCCATCATGTATTATACAGGATAACCTTTTTTTTAAAGGAGAAAAGGCAGTTTATTACACAGGCTGTGGTAAAAACCATCATGCTTCTTATGTCCTATGTGTTTGGTTATTATATTTTCCTTAATAATACCATAATAATAGCATTGGTGTGCTCATTTATAGCTCCTCATGATATATCAAAAACACCTTACAAAATCTGATTAAGGTTTACAGAACTCATGTGTGGCATATATGTAGGTTATATATAATTAGCCTGTTTTTACAGATAGGGAAATTAAAGTACAGAGAGCTTGACTTGTCCAGTAAAATTTTAGATATTGGGTGAGAATAGAACTTCAATTACACGAGCAGAAGTCTCTTATATTAGGACTTCTGTTGTACCTAATTTATGTTCTGTGATCAATAGGTCCACAATAGACACAGTTACTACAAAGATCTCACAGAACAGGACAGCCAGATCTCGCAGAACAAGATCTTACAGAACAGGAGATCCAGAACCGTATCTCTGGTTCTAGTGCCTCAAAACCACAGGGCACTACCATTTAAGAAATCTACTATTTATGAAATCTCCGTCAGTTGGCACTAAAGCCCTTCTTTCATCTCTGTGCCACTAAGGCAGTGGTCCCCAACCCGAGGCTCATGAACAGCATGTTACTCACAGAGCCAGCTCACTTCCTTAGAAAATTAAAAAGTTAAAACAAGTTGACAAGGAGTGAAAAATTATGGAGCTTCCTACAAATTGTAGCATGCTGTGTATTTTTTCTGTAGAAAAAGGAAGGTTGGAGTCTTGTGATATTTGGAAGCCATGTCTCTAAGATATCAGGTGAAAAATTGCCCTCAGGCCATATCTCCAGGTTATGAAAAAGAGTGAAAAAATATCCCAGGGTAAAAGGTAAAATATAGCCTGCCATGATACAATGTCTATGAAAAGTTTAATTGAAACCTAGCAAGTGTTTTATTAAAGCTGTTCACAAGATGGTGCCCTCAGTGAACAACAATCAAGATTCCTAGATATGTCTAACTTTCATAGGGAAAACACTCAGCATTGAATAAAATCAGCCCTTTTATATGGTGTCATAAATCAGGAGCTAAAGACAGGGGCAGTAGAATCACAAATTACTTCTGAATACTTTGCCAAAATGTGTATGAAATGTGAGGAAAGTTTCTTACAATGGTTTTCAAGAGTGAAGTCCTCAAGTGCACCCATTGCATAAGTACTGTAGGTTCTTCCTAGTTCTTCACCACTATACTTTAAGCCTCTCTTGAAGGAGCTGTCCTAAAGATTTAGCGGGGCTTCAGTCTCCATGCCCATCAGTCCGTAAACCATCTGCTGAAATTATCCATGAAGATACAAGCTAGAGTGCTAAATTGCCTTCTTTTTTTTAACCATTGGATGAACATTGGATGAATGAGTGCAAACATTGGATGAATGAATGCAAATTAAGAACTAGTGATTACTAGAACTAGTAATAAAAAAGAATTACTATAAACTGAAAATTATATCTAAATGAGGTAAAATGGTCTTCTTGGATTTTCTTATGCCGTGGTTACATATGCACTGACAACTTTTCAGTTGTCATATAGGAAAAAAACTTTTAAAGTTCCCATATAGCATGTATCAAAGTTACAATCCATGTTTTCATTTACCATTCTGAAGAAAGGCAACTTGTAATCAGGTTTTGATTTTTTGGATACTACACAATGCTTTAAGTTTACTTTCCATGTATGAAGTAAAAAAGGTCTATTTTAAAATTTCTCCTATTTTCAACTATTTCTCAAGACAAATTGCAGTCTCTCTAAGGGCACTTGTAGACTAAGACCAAATATCCAACACAAACATTGCATCCTTGTCTCCTCTATCAAGCCAGCATTTTGTCTGTTTTCTCCTTTACTTCATTTCCTTCTCTAGTTGGAAACCAAGCTGTGAGAGGATGACAGGTTTTACAAGGTCATTTTTGAATAAACAATTGTCTGTGCAAAAAAGGATGCAGTTATTCAGAGTACTATGAATGACCAATGATTGCTGTGCTCTTGTGCAAGAATCATTAAGTAAACTTAAGGTCATTTTGTTAAGTTTTAGATCAATTCATATGTTTCCCTTCTCATATCAAGGAAAAAGACACAGTTGGTAAGTAACTTCACCTTTTTTTTTCCAGAAGAGAATTGTATGACCAGGGTGTTGACTTCATAAAATAAAATTTAAGCTAAGGGATATTATTTTAATGACTGTCTAATGTAGCCCAAACAAGATGAATTGAAGAATAGTTGCTAATGTTGGTTAGGATTGGTGTAAATTTTATTAGCACTGAGGTGTAATTGTCAGGAACTTGCAGTTTCATACTGCAGGGGATTATTCCAACACATTGGTGCCAATGTTTGCTCAGTGTAGTCAGGATGACTGCACTTTCTAGGTCAACATTGTCTGAAAAAGTTTGCTGTACAGTATAACTGATGTAAGAAACTAAACACTGAGTCTCACTTCACATATCCTTTCAGGCTTTGTGAGGTGAGTCAAAGTTTTGCTATTTAAAGATCAGGCATTTAGAGAAATTGTATTTTTGCTTTTGCACCAAAAGCATGTGATGTCTGGTGTCTGTCAGAAGAATGCTTATTTCTTCAGTAATCCTATTCAGTGCTTTTGTCATTTTGTACATGAGTTAGGACAAACGCATGGAAGCTTGAAGTATTTTTAAAACTGAATCCACATTAATTACACACTTCCCATTTACTTATTATCTCGGTGTCACACAATCACTGCCTAGCATTTAGTTTTAAATGCTGATCCTGTGTGCTGGCTTTGCATTGCTAGAATGTCAATCACAGACTGGAATGTCTGTTGGTGCACAGACAGTATAACTTTGAAACAGACACTTGAATTCTTGTTTTAAAGACGTTCACACTCTTCTGCTGTAATTACAGCCTGCCACAGTGAGGAGCATGAAACTGTTTATAGGGTACCTTGTGAAGCTTAAAATAATAGGTGTGTGTGAAAACAAGAACAGGATCTTTTTTCTAGCAGTCCAGTGTCGAGTCCCTTCCACTCTGCTCTGTTGAGGTTTAAAGCACCTTCCTTTTGTTGTATTTTTAGGTGAGTGATGGGGCCCTTTATTTTCTTGCTGTGCATTGCTTGCATTAAATTAGCTCTCTGTATTTGTCTGCACTACTTAATGTTGTATATCTAAAGATGAAGTCTCAGGTGTGGGAGTAGAGATCTTCTGATGAATTGTTCTTCATTCTAATTAAGGCTTGTGCAGCCTAGTTTCCTATGCCGACTTTCCCAAATGATTTTTTCCTTATTTTTTCCAAATGAGGAGGCAGCTATAGTTCCAAAATAAAACTAACACTGTCATCAGGTTAATGCCCTAAAGTGAGTGGGCATTACTCCAAGCTTTTATTTCCCCTCTATTGAATAAGTTGAGGGTTTTTCCAGGGCTTCAGTCAGTAATGCAAAAAATGTTAAAAGAGTAAATGGCTAACCTCTCATCCCAAGGCCAATCAATCATTTTCAGTTGCAGGTTTAAATCTGCTGCAGCAAAGCAAAACCTCTGTGCTTGCATCAAGTCTTACAAAAGCAAGGCTGTTTGACAGACTAGCACTGAGAGGGGGTTCTGATAGGCATACTGAGACAAGTCTGGAAAGAGACTATTGAGGACAAGGGTTTGCCAGAGGTACTGTGCATTATAGATGATGCACTCAGTTGTACTGTTGATTGATGAGAGACAGTGACGTGCTTTCACAATGCTGGATAAGATCATCCAGACTGTCACCTAATATGAGCTCTCCTGTCAGCAGAAAGATGACTTTTTAATGTAGCAGTACAATGCAGATTACAAGTGACAGACTTACTGTCCTCTTTCTGCTTTGTGAGTGTTTAATCTCTGATGCAGGTGAGTTAACGTAAAATAACACTCTTATTTTCCAGGTGCCACCAGCCTGAAATAAACACTTATTTGGAGAGTTTTTGGAAAATTCACCTAATAATGATGTGATGGTATAGAAATTGTTTATCTGGAGATAAATCTTTAGTCTAAACAACAGGGAAGACATTATTTAAACTGACTGCATAGGCATGGTGAATCTTGGAGAGGGATGTTCTATTTTGTTATTTTAGGATAGAAAAGAGAAGCTGTGATGTTCAAGTCTGGAGACTTACTTCAGAGCACACAAACAGTTATGAGGTCTTAGACTGACATGCCTTCTGCTTTTTCTTTCTTACAGGGCTCCTCCTACTGATGTTCTGAATACTTTTGCATCATAGCAATTCATTACTGTACCAGGACCTGAATTTAAGGTATACTGCCCTATAAAAAGATGGGAAGAAAAAGTATGTATTATATACTGGAATATATGCATTCAGTGGAATAACTGGAATCAAAAGTAAAATAAGAAAGTGAAGTTGCAAAATGCCTAAATTTACTCTTATAAAATGACATAGTTTAAAGCTATTATTAATTTATATGACTTAGAATCACGTTTACTTGTCAGATTTGCTTTTTCTGGGTATTGCCTTTACCCATATGATTTTGCAAATTTATTCACTGTTTTAACATAATTTCTTTTGCTCTTTACAGACCTTAGGGGGAAAAAAGATCAAGCACTTTGGGACTAGAGGAACTACAATGAAGTATTCTTGCTTTGCACTCTTTTTGACTGTGCTCAGTACTGAGTGGATAAGAAGTCTCTGTTCAACTGTCAAATCTCCAAGGTTCAGAGGACGTGTGCAGCAGGAACGAAAAAACATCAGACCAAATATTATTCTTGTACTCACAGATGACCAAGATGTGGAACTTGGTGAGATATAATTGTTACTTTCTTTATTTCCTTTGTACACATAATTCAGTATCTTTCTGCTTCCTGATATCTGACATCCTGAAATGTATCTGTCCTGAAACACCCTCAAGCATATGAGACAAGACTGAAAATTATATGGATAAAAATTGCTTTATATATATATATTTTTACTGATTATCCCTTTTCCTGATTTAACTCAGCCTGTTCCATTTTAGGAGGTATATATCCAGCAAAACTTACTATGTTATCCTAAGAATGCACAAAAAATATGGTAATAAAAATTGCAAAAAATACAAAACCATTTAAGAATTCAGACTGCCTCAAAGAGGAGGAAACTCCTTTCATGAAATTTGTTATTTTATGATGGGCTGCTTTTATATAATATTCTTAAAATGTAAAGCTATTTTAAAGTTATCTATGCCATGGTACCAGATGGATGAAAATTTATATTCTCTTTCTGTTTGTCATATACCATGTCTGGTCTGCTATAATATATACATATGCAAAATTGGCCTAGTTTCAGGTTCTGTGTTTATTATTTACGTGTAATTGTACATGCCTTAAAGTCTGTCTATTTTCATTCTCTGTCATGTATATGATAGCAGATCAGTCTTGTTGCCATATGCACATTACATTTTTGAGAACAGCGTGGGCACCCAGGTAGGAAATGATATTCACATACTTTTCTTGAGGGGACAAAAATTTATAACATTTACAGGATGTTTCTGGAGTCTTTCTTTGCATGTTTTCCCATAAGTAAGCTATAAAAAATATTAACTCCAGCTGTGCAAACAACTGATTTTTTTGGTTCACTGTCTGAACCAAAATATCAGGGTGGGAGAGGAGGGAAATATTTCAGGTCAATCCAAAATATATATTTTTTAAACTTTTCAGAAAATTAAGGTTAAATAATATCATTTCTGTTTGAAATGAAACATTCAGTTTTGAGAATTTTAAAAACTTTAAAACTATTTTTTCCTGCACAAAAGTGCAGGAAATTGCTAAATGGAATATTTTGGTTTGGAAAATAAAAATATCTGCTCTGTGTTAAAACAACGTGTTTCAACTTTTGGGGAATTTCCCAGTGTCCTTTCTGACCAAAACAGTTTGCCAAAATTGCTTTGAATTTTACTAAATGTTTCTGTTGATCCAAATCTGCATTTGTCAGCAAAAAATGTTAACCAGAAGAAATGGCTGAGCTCAGTATCAGTTAATTAATTGTTCAAGCTATTATTATTTTTATCTTTGTCAAATTTTGCTCATGACTTTATATAACCTTTTTGCGGCCCTAAGGCTGTCATTAATAACAAGTATATCCCATTTTAAGGCTAACCCTGTTATCAGGTATTGTGCACTGAGTTCCAGGTTTGGGCTTTTAGATCTGTGACTGTCTAAACTATTTTATGTCTTATTCTAATGCTTATTCTCTCTAAAAAGACAACATGATAAATAGCCATTTTTCCAGTGCTTGAAAAAAAATCCTGTATTACTAGCTTAAAATAACCTATAGTTATTGTGTATGTATGTGTCTTTTAATTGCAGACATTTTAGAAATGGTTAAGTCCTGGCCTCTGTTTTTGTGATTAGTGAGTGCCCTATTCCATTAGGCCAATGACTCTCAACCAGAGCGCTGCTAGATCCCTTTAAGGGTGCCCTGGAGTGCTGTGCAGTGTTAGCACTGTTAGGTGTGCAAAGACCTACACATGATTCACAACATGAACACGGAGTTTTCAAAGAGGAATCCATGGTGTCAAAAGCATTCCGACCTGTTTTGGTCTTTCTGAGTTCTGTGAAACTGAAGAATTGTTCTACTATATTACTGTAGTGAAAACAAACAAACAAACAAGTAAAAGCTAAAAGCTCATATTTTTGGAAGGGTGCCTTGGATCTAAAAATGTTGAGAATGCCTGCATTAGGCACTGAAGCCAAAGTGCAGAGTGGCCATTTGGACAGAAGGTGCATTACAGTACCTCCTATAATCATAAAAGCAGAAGAGAGGATTACATATATTATAGGAGAATAGCAAAGATGCACCAAGGCTTTGGTTCATATTAAAGAACTACTATCTTAGAAAATTGCATAGGAGATTCAGAGGCCTATGGCTACTATGCTGGATCTGTAGGCTATCTATGCACGTGCCCGATGCCTGCTTCAACACATTCTAATTAGAATGATTAATTGAGTGTGCTAATTTGCACACTCCAGCAGCTTTGACATCGCATGAATTCAGCATCCCTGCACTTCAAAATAGCAGTGGGGCACTTTAACTAAAGCTCATCAAACAAGCTTTAATTAAAGTGCCTCCATCGCCATTTTGAAGCGTGGGATGCTGAATACACGAGACGCTGTGGATGCTTTAATTGGCTCCCCGGGGCCCCTCCAAATAAAGGATCTGCCCCCCCCCCCCCCCCCCCCCCCCCCAATCCTGGAGCACATATAAAGACTCCCATAGTACCTACTACAGCTTTTCTTGCATATCTGCTTTACTTCTCAGTTGAAGAAAAACTGTGCTCCACAATACCTGCATCATTTTCCCTGGACACAGTAAATTTGCATGTCCTTTTTGTAGGTGATATTAATTCTGCCTCAGGACCCATAATATCTGATTCTTTGCAGTCTCAACAATAGATCCTTCTGTTCATTTGACAGATTAAAGATGCACTCATGTGAGTTATAACCTTGCCCTTTGAAAGCCTCAGGTGAGCAAAGCTAAATTTCACACAAGTGAGAGCTGCTTATGCTAAACATGGTGTCAAGTCTAGGATTTATAGAATGCAGCAAACTAGATTATTCAGCATAGATTATTTTCTATTCTATTTTGAGCATAAGTATTTCTAATATCTCCTCAAAATACATGCTTTTTTAATATATAAAAATATATAAGATATATAAGTACAGCAAAATATTCATTCTCCTCCCTGCTCTAAATCATAGCACTGAATAAAACAGTGGAGTAAAATACAAAATATAATGTCCAGGATTAAGGGAAAGAATTATTATAGCTTATAGTGATTTAACATAAGCAATTAGTATTTGAAGTTTTGTGATCAGTTTTTATTAAGAGGAACTGATCATGCAAACATGTTTATTTACAAAGAATGTACCTAGAGTCCTTTTTCCCTGAGTGTAATAGGATCTAACATAAATAGACCATGTCTTTGCTCATAGTTCCAAGCCTCTTTTGAACCAGCACTCTGTCCAAAAATCTCTCCTCCTCAGTTTTCTCTCAACATTGCAGTACAAGTTCTTTGAATGCTCTTTGGAGTTTCCTGGCTGGCTTCTCTGTCTGTTTCTGTGGTATTTCTGCTGCATCTCCTTCTCAGACGTATACAGCTTCCTCAAGCAATACTCTGCTTCCTCCATTTGCTTCATTCTTCAGTAAAATCCCTTACCCAAGTAGCTCTGGTTCTTAAGCCTTCAATCTGGCTGTTCTTTTGTAGTATGGCTTCTATTTTTTTAGCTACCTATTCTAAAAAGCAGCTTAGTTATTACATAAGCAGACAAGGTACTTCGGGTAAATCCAATATCATTTATTAGACTGAGTCAAATAGTTGGAAAAATTCTTCTTTGTAAGCTTTCAGGTATAAATACCCTTCACCAGGCTGAAGAAGCATCTACAGTTGGTGTGTGCTCTTACAATTATAATATTAATTATTACATTACATTTCTCATAAATAAAGGGTGGCTATTCAGTCAGCTACACCAAGGATTTTTCAACCTCTAGCATTAAGAATAAATCATATGGCTAATGTCTTAAAGATGTTGGGGCTACTAAAATCTCATTATGATTTCCAGTGAATAGAAAAATATTACTAGCATAAATACAAGCGGTTTTACATTGTTCTATTTTCTGATACCAGATATGGGGTTTTTGATGGTTTCTAATTTTGTGGAAGACAAAAGGGAAAAGCGGGGGAAAACAGATGACAAAGACAAGGCATTTGTAGGCATTTGTAAATGTGATGGGCATTCACTCTCCCTCCATACCTAGGGCCCCATCTGCCACTCAGTGAAGCCCATATAAGGATACCAATTGGCTTCAACAGCAGTTGAACTGAGTCCATAATTTTGTAAAGTAAAACATGTTTAATGCAAGGAGGAAAATTATGTGATTTTATTCTTCTCAAATTAGCATATGATTCATTCTTGAAATAAAAGTTAATCTCTTTTTATGAATGAGGGAAAAGGCATATTATGTTCACCTGCTCGAAGTAGCAACTTTCAAGCTGGGAAAGCTAGAGCTAAAGAAAAGTTTTGAACATAGGTGTCAAACTTAAGGACACTGGGGCTCCTAGAGGGATCAGGAATTAGGGGGCAGGATAAGCAGGGGCAGGGTGTACCACCAAATTCTCAGCTATAGAGCC